GGGGGGGGGGACTTTAACGTGGGATCTTACGGTATGTTATAAGACTGCATACCTCATGAATTATGACACAAGCAAAAATGACGCAAGCAAATGTAAAGACGCAATTGGCTGCTGTTCTAGCACCTGGACCCGGATGTTAAGGAGCGCCGTTAGGAAATTTTCTTACCATTATCAACATCTTACTGCCTCGGCATCTGCGTATGCTGGGCACTAGCGAAAACCAAACGAAAATTGTTTCCAGCGCCTATGTTACTGCACAGTATACATCTTTTTGTTTGTCAAAGCAGTTCTACATCAGGTCATTGTCGTTATTTGTGATGTCATGTTGTTTTTATTTCAGGCCGGCGTATCGCTGAAGCTGCAATGTACCTGCTGTCAGCAAAGGTAAAGCACTGGTAATATTATCCTTCCAGAATATTCCTCTTTGAATCATCCCGGCTTCAATAACTGCAATACCACTGAAATGATGATAACCAGCATAAGGGATCTTCAGTTTACTGATCATATATACAGAGATGCTGAGGGCTTTCCGATTGGACCAAACATTCCAAAACTATTGACATGGGGGCAAATGGTGCCGAAGTTTTCTGGAAAAGCCTTGGAAATCCGAGAATTATCGAAATTTCCGGAAACCCTGGGCGCAAAATAAAATGGAACAGAAATCCTTGGTTAGAAACTTTCGAAAATTTAGTTATAGCTAGTTATTATTCGCGAGGTTGTCCTCTTTCTCGGAAATTCCGGAAAATAATGTTCCATTCGCCGGTGAAAATTTCTTGATATTCAAACCGGAATTTTTGGTCCAATCTTTATGTTTTGATATAGAGCACGAGCATCTGTGGGCTTGTGCAGTACTCTCACACTTTGTTAAAAGTAAAAGCTTCACCGGAAACCGGCTCATCGTTTTGGTTACCTTGACACGAAAGGAACGTTCCACTGGCAAATGACCAGTTAATTTGCAAATCCGAGATAGTCATGTTATACGAGAGACTATGATCTAGTGTTAAGCATCGAGAGACTATGATCTAGATCACAGTCTCGTATCATCAAGTCTCTTGACATAGTCTCTTGTGTAAGTCTATTCTTAATTAGTCCCTGGATCCACGTACTCTTTAAGGCTGATTTTCATTAGCGCCAAAGTCGTAGTCGGAGTCGTAATCAGAAGCGTAGAGTGATACGATCTAGTGAAACTGATCAAATTGACGGAGTCGGAAGCAGAACACCCTAACCGCTTATGACTCCGTCGCTTACGATCTAGTGAAAACTAGATTGTCGGAGTCGGAAGCAGGAGCGGTAGAATAAACCAATCACAATGTTTGTTTCCGGGCCTTGTGATTGGTTGATTCTTCCGTTTCTACTTCCGACTCCGACAATCTAGTTTTCACTGAATCATAAACGACGGAGTCGTAAACGCAGTCGTAAGAAAGGGAAACGTTCTGATTCTTCTGACTCCGATTCCGTCGAGCTTATGACTCCGCTTACGACTCCGATCTTCGATTTCCACTAGGTCGTAAGCTCTCTTACGACTTCGACTCCGACTTCGACGCTAGTGAAAAGAAAAAAAACTACAGTGTACAATATCCACGGTGCCAACACAATCCTCCTTTTGTTGTTTTTCAAGTCATTTCTATTAACAGAGGTTTTTCTTTTTCATCGCAGCTTGTTCAGCGATTTTCATTGGAATACCATGAAGAATCAGTTGGTACAACGTGTAAATATTTTTTAGTACCTGACAGACCAGTACGAATCAGGTTTATGGATCGCCATTGAAGAACGCCGGAGTATTTGGGTTTTAGGTTATAAGGGACGTTTTCTTGGTTTATGTAACGCTAGATTTTCAGGCTCGGCCTATTTTTTATATATTACCTGTAAAAGCGGAATCTCTTTTCTCTTCTACTTGAATTCTATTCAAGTGCACTATTTAAGTACTTCAGGTAATTCATATATTTAATACACGTTTATGTGATGTCTGTAATGTTTCTTAGTTTTTTTTTGTCTGTTTTAGCTATTAGTAGTTTGTTTTTACATTTTTCATTATTTTGGTTGCTATATTAGAGACAAACAGGAGCCATAATTGATGATGAGTCCTGAGACAAATTGGTATTTTCTATTAGCAGCACTCCTCTGGAGAGTAGCCACGTTACTGAATGTGCTACCCTGAATAAATGTTTGTTTACTAACTAGTGCCACAATTTCGCGTTGTTAATAATGTACAACAAGTAGCTATAAGTAGGCCGTAAATTTGCCCTTGTATGTTATTTGTCGTCACAGTATTTAATGCTTCCCATACAATGAATATTAATACACCGCATAATAAAGTTGTAGTTATTTTTAAATAAAGTCACCAGATGGTCATCATTATCGTCAAACAGTGGACTCAAAGGGTCGCAAGGAGGCGTCAAAGCTTCAGGATAGTCGAGAGGCAACGCATGGCCAGTATGTAAACTAAAATGGCCATACATTTATTGGAAACACAAGCACTCTTAGCGTCACAAAAGTGCCTGTATACGGGCATCACTGTCTCAGGGCTCGAAAAAAGTGCCGTCCCATTGCCCCGGACAAGTAGATTTTCCTTCTGGGCAAGTAACTTTACACTCGCACTTGCCCAATGGGCAAGAGACCAAGCAAGTCATCCGTCAACTAAATCATTAAAAGGGCAAACTAAGACTTGCCATGGGCAAGCAAACTTTAAGAGATACTTGTCCCAAGAGCAAGTTGGAATTCAAGTTTTTTCGAGCCCTGTGTCTGCCGCACAACAAAGCTGGTAAAAAGTATTGGGTGATCGATACACCGTGATACAATGATTTTTATTTAAAAAACTGTTTACCTGTTCATAGAATCATGCAGCCACTCTTTTTTTGTTAATCAAGCCAGGAGTGATGGGCTTCTGATTAAGGTTATCCATTTCTTTTAATTTACAAGGTGTTTTGTGGGGTCTCTTACAAATCATCCTTTTGGTGTTAATTAATTATTACAAGTGAGAAAAAAACAGTTTGAAATAGTGGGAGTTCAAAATAGCCGATAGTAAATGGCTGAAGGGAAAATCCAAGCGAAATGGCTTTGAGTTCGAAATAACGGGGAATTCAAAATACCCAAGATCGAAATTAGCAGGATTCAACTGTACTATTACTACTATAATAATATTCGGAGGGGGGGGGGACTCCCTTATATGAGCTATACGGGTATGTGCGGCCCCAGAGGGTAGGGTTTTCAGCCGTTTTGGTCATAAATAGGGTATCAGTTTTTGGCCATTTTGGTCTTAAATACGGTATGGTTTTTGCACTCTAGTCTTAAACAAGGTATGTTTTTAAGAAGAAGCTACTTTTCATGACTGTCGATAAGACCATCATCAAAGGCCCTTCACAAATTATGTTTACAGCAATTTAACATTGGTCTGAACTGGGGAACTAATTATGAGGCAGGGCTGGAACAGGGTATTGATTTAAGGGTCAGGTCATAAATGGGGTATCAAATTTTTGGTCAGGTCATAAATATAGGGTGGGGAAAATCGCAGATTTTGGTCATAAATAGGGTAAGGGTTTTGGGAAGCGGGCCGCACACCCCCACCCAATTTTTCTCGGAGTACCTCCCCCGGGAATTATATACACGAAAACATCACTCGATTCTGATTGGCTGAGAGCAGTGCAGTTCACGTGTAACACCAGTGCAAATTACACATTGTATTTCTGGATTATGATTGACTGAAAGACACTTGGAAATTTGCTAAGCCAATGATATCACGTAAAATGATGACGAAAATTTTGTGCAGAAACTTTGAAAAAAGTTTTCTCGAATGAGAGTAAATGGCTTCAATTAAGTTAGAACTTCCGGCACTTCCTCCACNCAATGATATCACGTAAAATGATGACGAAAATTTTGTGCAGAAACTTTGAAAAAAGTTTTCTCGAATGAGAGTAAATGGCTTCAATTAAGTTAGAACTTCCGGCACTTCCTCCACGCGAATTTTTTCATGTTTATATTATTAATAAGTAATCATATAGTTTTTTTCGTTCAATTTGGATTTAATTTGCACGAGTGACTTTCCACAATCTAGCTCTCCAATCTTCAGCTCTTCGGAGCTGCTGCAAGTGGCTGCCCCAGAGAAAAGCCGCTCTAACTAGACATGGCGGGCGCAGACCCATCTTGAAAGTGAGGCTAGCCGCCATATTTGTTGTCTCCACGTCAGCTTGGGCAACTGAGTGGCATTCAAATAAAAATGTTTTGAACTTTTTCTGCATGGATGAATGGAGGTGAGTGATTGCGTGGAGGTTATTTTTACTCAAGCTACGTGCTAAACGCCGATCAAGATGTGCAACAGGAGAAACAAACCGATTTGTCAAGGAGCTATTCTGCTCGCTCTCGTTGGAGGTTTGGGGTACACAATGTATTTGTATAGCAATATTTCAATGGATTTAGAGATTTCCAGATCAGAGACCGACAAGTATTTCAAGCAGCAGGAGTCTTTATCTTCCCAGCTTCAAGGTGTGTGTGTGTAGTTTTGTTGTGGATTAGAAACGCAAGCTTTTAAAATAATATTGTTCAGCTTAAATAAATTACTAGATATTTTCACTTCACATTTCTTTTACAGACTATTGATGTAGATTTTATGTTCAAGATGCAGAAAATGAACCAAAACCGTAAAATTACTTGAGTTGTTTGTAAATTTCGGTTTTTCTTGTTTTTGTTTGGAATTAAGCTTACACATTTTCCTTATGATGAACCTGTTGTACATTGTTATGCGGAAGACCAGAGTTCAACATGTGTTTGGTACATTCCTTGGGTTTTGTTAGAGTTACTGTTCTTACCATTAAGCTTAAGTGAGATTAACTGAGTAACTCCTTCACTCTGTTTCTCTCAATGACTAACGTTAAAGTCAACAAATTCGAAGGGATTGCAGGTGTCTAACACATTTGATTTTGTGACTTCATAGCTCCATGTGAATTAGAAAGCCGATGACAGTCTCTAGAATCGTCTTTCATTTACAAACATTAAAAAAAGCAATCCGAAACAGTACAGACCCTTCCATGACAGAGAGGTGCATTTACCATGACAGTTACTTCTTGTCTTGTTCCACGATGCAACCACAGGGACATTATTGTGTGTTGAGTCCCAACAGTTTTGAAAATGTGAAATTTTGAATTGTGTGAAAAAAAATAGCTCAAAATCTGTCTTACAGGTAGTTTTAGCATTTTGGCTCTGGAGTTGATTCATCCCTATAAATTGTGGAAATTTCATCCTGGGTTGTACAATAGGCATTTGAGCAGTTTTGCATCAGCAACAGGTTTTTTTGCAATGGTGCATGCCTTTTATTTAAGTGTGGAGAAGCTCATTTGATGCCATGTATCACATGCAAGAAAGTAAGAGTAGACAATGAAAGTGTAAAATTTGTAGTGCACAAATTCCATCTGGATATGCTTGAATGTACATTACAATGAAATTACCCTTATCACAAGCCTTAAAATTACTATCACAACTTTACTGACCAAAAAACTAAAATTGTTCTCTCAAAATTACTATATCATAATTTCAGATTTTAATGAAAATGGAAAATGCTTTACAAGGCAAATAATGTCTTAAGTTTGCCTTTAAAAGCAGTAACAGTGTCCTCAGACTTGATGTCCAAAGGAAGAGCATTCAAAAGTTTTGGAAATGCATATGTGAAAGACTGATATGTAAAGGAACTCACTTACTGGCTGTTTATAAAATCTAGATACCTTTTATGTCCCACACCAAAAAGATTAAAAAGGGTGTATTTATGGTGTATATTATTATTATTTGTTTCAGTTGTTTATGAACACCGCGCTCGGCTGGAGAGGTCACTACAGAAGGAGAAGACAGATCACAAAAATACAAAGCTGGGTTAGTTTTTGTAGTTACTGGACTTACGGTTCCTAAATCTGTGATGCAGAAATTCTTCTTTGTGTATATTTGAACATTTGTGAAGGACAAAATTTTTGCAACGACAAACTCCTTATCTCCAACATGTGCCCACCAGTTCTTTGAAGAATAAGCTCAAGGCTAACAACTGGAATTTCATGGTTGGCACTAAGCTGAGCCAAATCATTAGTGACATTAACTTTTAAAACTTTAATTGTGCTTAAATAAAAGTTGTCTGTCTGTCTTGTATACTGGGCAAATTGTCTCAGGTAAAATAATTTACAAGATTATTATAGGCATAGCTGCTTCTTGCTAAAAAAACTGATTTGATCAGATGCTGTGTTACTCACTTGTTTTGTGAGCACAACAAATACCCAGTAACTTGTAAGTAAGTTTTATTTACAGTTGAATCCCATATATCTTGAACTCTCAAGGGAAAGCAAAAAAGTTCAAAATGGCATGGGGTTGAGATACATATAGCTGATGGTAAATGACTGAAAATGTGTGTTCAAGGGTAAATAGTTTGAGTTTGATATAGCAGGGAGTTTCAGATAACTGTGTTGATTATAGGGAGGTGAAACTGAGGTATTGTATTAGTAAAGCTTATTGGTTTAATTTTCTTTTCTACAGATTTTTCCAGAAAGCTAAATGATTTTATGTTGAATATAACACGTTCCAAGGTGATTGTAACATTCCTTTATTTTAACTTTCTTCTTTGATTTTACTTGATTTTCATTTGTAGTAAAACTATATCATCCAAGAAATCATTCACTTTACTGTGGTTATTGTTTAACAGCATGAAGCCATGAACAGGTTCAATTCACTAGAGACCCAGTATAATATGCTTAAGGTAGGTAATTGGTGCATGCTGTATATTTGTGTTACATTCAACATAGTTGTAAGTGGAACATGTACATGTACAATACTTATGTGGTACTGTATGTACTGAGTGGTTGGATCTTGCTCACTTGCTAAATTTCAGTTGTACGAACTGTCTACATTAACTAGCTATCACAAGCTCTCCAATATGACTGGTCTTTTTTAGAAACTAATTTGTACTTTTTTCCCTGAAACTCACTTTTTCCTTTTACTTAATTTGTAATTCTAAACAAAGAGATTCCTTGGAAAAGCAACTAGTCATATACTGAATAGTATTGACTACTTGTAACTGCAATGTATTTAATAATTTTCGTTTTCAGTGGAGTGGCTATCACATCAAAATGAATAATTGTTTTAATTAAACACTCTCATTGCCAAAATGCCTAACAAACAGTTATTGTACAACATCTGAGATCTTTGGGTTCCACAAGTGGATGCAATTTGGCCACTTGAGGTGACTTGAGTTAGTTCTTTAGTCTGTTATTTGTCTTTGACTTTCTTTTGCTCAGTAAATTACCTACAGTTGTGTATATCATCCATCTTTTGGTTGCACAACAGATATAACTGTTTATTAATTACTTTGAAGCTTGAAAATGCTGCAGCCAGTCAACAGTTGGAAGTTAATTTTTTGGGGGATGTATGTTGGAATGAAAGTGAAACTCAAAAATAAATAATAGTCAACCAAGGTAGAAAATTACTACCACAGAGTTAATAACAACCCCAAATTTAGCAAGATAATGATGGGTAATGAACTACAAAATTGAAAAGCTAGCACTGTACTTTTAATTTATAGACTGACATGCTCTTGTGGACTTTTAAAAAAATAAACATAAATTATTTGTGTCCCGATTACAGGGCTGTCATTGAGTTTTGAAGCAGCCGTTGCATGTAAGTTATCACCCGTAGCAGTGAAATACGTGGCCCATGGCCACGTTCTGAAGACCCGAAAGGGCCTGAGCATCTAGGGGGGTCTGGGGGCACGTCCCCCAGAAATTTTTTGAGCATGAAACCCCTAGAAATGCATTTTCCTGCTTTCTAGGGCATGGCAAAATGGCAATTTTTCTAATCAA